CTTAAAGATGCTTTGAAACACCTAAAGCGCCTTACCTGCCCACCCGGCGCAGGCGCAGAAGGCGCGCGCTCCCCCAGGGCGCCTAAAGAGGGCGCTCCGAAACCTCGCCCATCTTTTCGCCCCGCGCTCGGCCCCCACCCGCTTTCCTCAGCCGCCCTGCCGCCGCGTCCTCCCGCTTCCTCCTCATCCTCACCGGGTCGGTTCGAAGGGCTCTCTCGCTCGCTCTCTCGCTCTCTCTCCCCCACCTCTCCTCAGTCCGCAACGCGCGGCTCCGCCCCTCCTCACAAACCCCTCAGACACCGACTGCGCTTCGCCGGCGCCGACGCCCCTCTATATAAGATGGCCCGCGGTGACGTCATCGCCGCAGAGCCGGCCGCAGAAGCCGAAGCACGCTGGGGGAGGCGGGGGGGGGAGGCGGAGCTGGAGCGTCGGAAAAACCCGAAGCGGAAGGAATGCGAGCGGCCGAAGGTGCCCGAACGGGGCCGGAAAGAGCCGAAAGCTTCAAGGGCAAATGTCTGGTCGGTTGGCAATACCGGACGGAGTGCAAATCGGTGGTTTTTTTCCGCATGACGTCATTTCGTTCTGTTGCTCAGCCAGAATAATAATAATAAAAAAAACTTTAAAAAGCTTATTCGGATGTCCTCCACCCTGGCGCTGCACTTTGCACCACCTTGAAGGGAAACTGAAGCATGGTGTGGTAGGCTCTCCTCCTTGAGCAGGGGGCTGGACTAGAAGACCTCCAAGGTCCCTTCCAGCTCTGTTTTACTACATCCAAAAGGCACCTTTGGGGGGGGTGCACTGAATTTTGTATAATTTTTTGGGGGGTGGGGAAATCGGTCTCCCCCACCTATGTAAGCTGAGTCCTCCCGAAACCCAACACAAAAATAGATCCCCCCCCCCAAGTTTTCTGCACCCACTTCAATCCACATGTGGGCGGGATCTCATAATACATTTCAGCTCATTCCTTTTCTGTACCCCAAAGCCCAGAAATAACATGCGTGCGGATGCACACACACACACACACACACACACACACACACACACACACACACATCGTTTGATCCCAGCGATTGTGCTTTTCCTGGTCAATCTTGCACAGGTAGAATAGAATAGAATAGAATAGAATAGAATAGAAACAGAACAGAATAGAATAAGAGAACAGAGAACAGAAGAGAAGAGACTAGGGAAGGAATAGAATAGAATGCAGAATAGAATAGGAAAGGAACAGAATAGAATAGAATAGAATAATAGAACAGAGAATAGAATAGAATAGAATAGAATAGAATAGAATAGAATAGAATAGAATAGAATA